ATACATCATTACAGAACTGCAAAACACTAAAAAATATGGCCTAGCAAAGGTGAAACATATTTTTGAGAGACACAATTTAAGCCATGACAGTGTTTATTAAACACCTAGATAGTAAATCATAAATAATGCTGTATGAGTGTGGTTTATACTAGAATTGCCTATCAGTAGACCAATGCTAAATAAAACACAGGTCATGTCTCTATATAAACAATAATAATTTAAAAAAGTCAAATGACTGTTTCAATGTGCATTATTTAGATTAAAAATAAATTTAAGATAGGTAAATATATATTTTTTTTATAACATCATTAAAAACTGACTTTCTCAAAATTTCTTTGCCAAAGTAATTTTCCTGTGTTAAGTAACAGAATAATAAAACGGGAATGCATACATGTCTGTTAGAAAACAGAAAGCTTCCATGCGTCAGACTTAAATCAAATGTTGAAAATGATTCTTGAATGTTACAATTGAGCACCAGCTGACTCCTTCGTTATAGAATCTATGGAGTCATTATTTATATTTTATAGAAACTTCTTGCACCCAGAGAAATATCAGCTAATTAGGTATGTTTTCATTTAGAAGGGTATAGATTGGCTCTGTAAATTTTCACCCAAATCACAATAAAATTAATTTTTTTTTTTTTTAAAAAAAGAAGGGTATAGATTGGTAGACTGAGGAGAAAAGGCACTAATTAATTTTTATTGCCTTTTAAATACAACAGTCTCTATCAGCAGAATTGAGTATTAGCAAGATAAATGTCTTACCTCCATAATGTTGTAGATTTTTTTTTTCTATGAGTTTCAGTTATCAACACAACTTATATATTATCAGTATAAATTAAGAATCTAAGACTAAGACAGAAGTTGAGAGAATTTAAGGTGTGCGTACAAATATTTATAACTATATCCTAAGACTATTCAGAAAACAGCTGTAAAATTTGATTTTAGATTATGTGAAGTCATTGTAAATTTGCATTTGAGAGATAATTCTACTTACAATTATTTTTATTTATCATCAACAGATTTTTATTTTGAATTCCTCTTATTCTTATTTTACTTTGATTCTTCTTTTTTTCTAAGATATTTTCTCTTTTACTGATTACTTTACTCAATTTTCTTTCTTCCAATAAACGTGATAAAAGTTGTTTGATTTCATTCACTGATACCTAGAAAGAAAAACATTTTGCTCATTTTCATCACAAGTAATTTTTAAAAATAAACAACAGGGAAGTAAGAATATATATATTCATGTCAAAAACACCAATTTAATGCAGTTACTCCAACTAAATCCTGATTTTCACAACTCAAAATGAAAGATGATCTTTTTTTTTTAAGAACCTGTATCTTTTGTGAATAAAAATCATTTAAACCTATTACATTGCCATCTTCACTGCAGAGCCAAGCATTAAAATCTAAATGCTATAAATAAAATAGTAGAGGAATATGGTAGTTAAAGATGTGTGTCAACTTGGCTGGGCCTGGTTGAGTGGCTGGGCAGCTAGATGTAGTTACTCCCCATGGTGAGACTGGTAATTAACTCCATGGTGGAATCTATTGGAACAGCTGAG